TTAGGCCACAGGGGCATAGGCTAACAAGGAGACAGAACTGAACCTCACATCACCCTGCTTGGCCCCAGAAGATGGCTGGTTAGCCAAAGACGGGTAAGATTCCTCAGGGAGGAACGACCTAAGACAGGCACAGTCGCAGAGGGGCCAGCAGGAGAGAACTTGGGGGTCAACAGAGGTGGGGCAAAGATCCTCACCCGCCCAATTATGCAGGGGCCTGAACACTTGCCCCTTCTGAGGGAGGTCTCCTGCCCCCATGGCTGCTTCTCGCTTCCCACATCCAGCTCAGATTGGGACCCAGAAAAAGACAGACTGGCTGACAGCAGCTGCCCTCTCACTGCAACAGGACTTGTTTCCCATTTCTACCTTGGACCACAGGGAAAGGGGCAGCTGAAGGAAAGGGCTGTGTCAGGATGCTGCCTTCTTCCCTTTCTTCTTCCTCTTTTTTCTAAACACTTCCATGCCTTGTAGTTCTTTTGCTTTCTCTTCTTTTTCTCTCTACTACCCTCCATCTCCACCTCCTCCTCCTCCTCCCCAGTATTATCCATATCAGGTGACCCAGAGGGCACAGCTGACTCCTCCCTGGACACCAACACCACCATCAAACATGGCCCTGATGGACCCTTTGATCCAGCCATACAATGCGCTGACACTTTAGGAAGCCCGTCGCCAGCGACGCCGCCCGCTAGCCAGATCAACAAGGACAACCAAGCCACCGACTTGGGGTTACCTGAAGAAGTTAACAACTGAAGCCCAGCAGATGGTAGAAAAGCAAGAAGTGGAAGCTACTCTCTCAGCCAAGTCGGAGGACTCTGAGTAAATCGGCAAAAGAAACTTTCATTTGGTAGAAAAATGTTACTGTGGTTTGATTTCTCACTTATTGCTGTTTTGCATTGCCATTGTTTTATTATTCTTACTAGTTTTAAAAATGTTATGTTCAAGTTTTCAAATGTTTTGGGTTTTGCACTGGCATTGTTTTGTTATTGTTTTAATAGCCAGAGTTTTGTTCTTGATGCTTAAGTTTGATGCTTAAGTTTTACCGTCATTATGGTAGCTTAAAAAAAACTCTCATTATAGTAGCTTAAAAAATAAAAGAAGGGTGAGATGTGGGGAGCTGATATAGGGTTAAGCCTCAGACTGACCTGTTGGTAAAGTCACAAACAATTCCCAGCTTAGAGGGCACAGTCCTCTTAGCATAATTAGGCTTGACCCTATGAGGCTCTCTAGATCTTATCTGGGAGCTAATGGGCTGAGGGAAGTGCAGGAAGTGGCCAAAACAAGTGAAACTCACAAGAACTGTGTAACTATGGAAACCACTACCTTGTTTACCTGTCACTATAAAATAAAGGCTCAGTTTGCCTGGGGATCTTTCTCTGTGGCCTCAGCCAGGTACAGGGAAGATCCACAGAGACTAGAGAAAGCTAGAGAGTCCTGAACGCTGACTCCGTCCACACCTTTGGGAACCACTGGACCTGATGGGCTGGATCCCAGCATTTTGTTGCGGGAGGAATTCTAGCAAGGTAGTTTAAGAGGCCTGCGATGGATGGTGGAGCTGGGATTGAACTGGGATTTGCTTTTCTGGGCCCCCTCTCAGAAGCGACTAGCCAGCCCCCAGCTCTGGGAGGCTCGTTCTCCCGCGGTGGTAGGAATTCAGAGCCTGGTGCCCCAGGAGCCGTGTGTGGGACGTCGGTGGCGGGTGTCCGGGATAACGCCACCTCCGGAGCCCGCTCCGCGCCCCCGCCCCTCCCCATCCTCCGCCACGCTGTCACTCTCCATTAGTGCTAACAGGCTCCAGACGAAGCGGCCCGGCTCGGGGTTAATGCAATCGGCGCG